CCAAAAATAAATAAATAAATAAGTAAACATGGTTACCAGCACACGACGTTCCATTTCCGCTATATCCTCGATTACAGGTGCAATGATACGATCCCTCAGTGTTACTGCAATAGGCGTTGACATGGCACTTGGTGGTGTTGGTCACGCATTCGTTAATATCTTATAGAAGCCAAAAAATAAGTAAAAACATAAATAAATAAAAATCAATCGAACGATCACTTAATCAATAAAGCACTGTTAGGCCAGCAGAGCAAATCAAACTTTGAGGTTAACTTGTGCTGAACCAAATGTGAATAGGCGAGAACAATAAATTTTGCTCATTAGCATTTAGGTCAGGCACATTTGAAGTGAAGTTCGACGCTTGACAGATGCCTTCAGGGAGGACCCCTTAGGATGGGGGGGGGGAGGGAGGGGTTATGATGTATGTCTCTAGGATGAATTTCAACTGTGATGGTTTCGCGTTTGGAAGAGTAGGCCATATCCTTGTTAGTATTTTACCCATCTTAATGTCGTTTGTCGCCATTTCATCTGTCTTTCATCAATCAAGGCCATGTTGGTTGTCCCAATTTTACCTTAACAGGGCTTCATTAGAGATAGGGTAAGAGGAAGAATGCTTGACATGTCAAATGAAAAAGAAACAAACAGAATTTCCCCGGTTCACTGAGCAATACCAGGCAAATCATACGCGTGATAGAAAGCTAAGAAACAGGACTAACAAAACGACAACAATGACAATGATTTTTACCAAAGCAGGCTTGTCCATTTCCAAAGAACCCAGGATTGCAGCTGCATTTGTAAGATCCACTTGTGTTGTTACAAAAGGCATTGACATCACATGTGTGACTGTTGGTCAATAAAACAAACAAACTCGTCAATATCTGAAAAGGAAGTTCTGTATTGAACCTCTTTTTATAACAATTATATTGTCATCGGAGGTCATATCGATTGCAAGTTTGTTAAAAACAAACACAACAACTTATTGCCCTAAGTAAGGGAATCCGGATCCCAGAACGTTTTAGGGAATCTTTGCTTGTGGATTCCGGAATCCAGGAAATGTTTGCTTACGGAAATCAGGAATCATGGGCTTTGGAATCCGTAAACTAGCTCAAGGAATCCGGAATCCCCTTAATTATTTGATTCCGGAATCCAAGTTCCACTGACATGGAATCCGAAATCCAGTACCTGGAATCCAGAATCCGAGGTGTGAAATCCAGAATCCAGGTTCGACTGACTGGAATCCATGGACCCGTTTCTCGAAAGACCCAGAAAATTTTAGGGCCCGGAAGGGAATTTTGAAATTAAAACCTGTTACATAGTATCACAGTTCTTGGCCCACAAACCAGTCAATTTTGCTTCGTTCACTAACAGTTGCATTGTAATATATTCAAAATTCTTGAAAATTTGATCTTGAACGCAAACACAACAAACACAGAACAACTTTCAGACTTTCCGGGCCCGAAAAGTTAGCGGGACTTTCGAGAAACAGGCCCCAGTACCTGGAATCCGGAATCCAAAGCGTGGAATCCAGAATCCGGGACTGTCTTAGATTCCCTTACGTGGGCTAAAAGCTAGCCAAATCATTATACGTACGTTTCTGGGAAACTGCTCATCTACCCCTCCCCTAAGCCAACATTAACACTCTTACTTTTCACTTAGGGCAAAATGTTGAATTAGGGGAGAGGGGTAGGTGAGTAGTTTCCCAGAAAAGTATAATGACCCGCCTTAATTTTTGGTTGACAAACATGAAGTAGTTAGTAATCACCAGTGCAGATTTTTCCGTTTCCAGTGTATCCATTGTTACAAATGCAGCCATGGCAGTTTTCCAATGTTTTACAAACAGCATTAGCGTCACATAATTGAGGGTTGGTTGCACAGTCACCATTTTTAACAGCAGGCAGGCAGGCAGGCAGGTGAAAGGGGAGAAGGAGGGAAAGATTTTGGAAGAGATCTGACCGAGTTGATGACGAGGAAGAGAAGGAAAAATCCCGGGGGGACCGGGGAAGAATTACTGGGAAAATACCTCAATATACTTACTAAACCCTGACACAGCCCTTCACAACCTCATTGGCTAAATTTGCAGTAGCTGGTACAGCCTGACCTAGCAAGTTATCATGTGATTATCATGCCTTGCCATAAATTAAATTATGTCTGCCATAATGTCTAGTTTTTTGGAAAACACTTTTCCTATGTTTTTATAAATTACACGACGGATAGCTTGAAATAGAATTAAGTCGCAGAGAAATAATCAAGACATGTAAGGTCAAAAATCAATGCCTTTCAAACACTAGGTTACGAAGAAGACATAGTTAGCGCACAACGAGGCAGCTAACGATTTCCTTGTTACCACTCAGATAAGCTAGTATCCTTATTTAGCGATGTGCTTCTGAGGGCTATGAACCATGCCATATATTTAAGTTGATCGTTATATTATTTTCTCTTAGAATTTAAGTAAACATACTCATTGCAGATAAAGACGTACACAATTGATTTGCCCTCCACC